ATTGTATTATTTTCCGAATTCTTTGCATTTCTCTTGTTCTACTACTTGAGCTTATGGTTCTTTTATTAATTGAATAAAAGAATGAAAATAGTGTGACTGACGTTTAGACACTCTGTAATCTCAGTATTATTATAAAGGTTGTAACACAGAGCGCTTATCAGTCGTTATAGGGGCGAACTACAAAGAGCTGAGCTTCTCTTTTTTCCGTTATGAACCTGATGTGGAGAGCCCTTATATGCCTTATCTTGGCGCCAATCGTCACGTGCCTTCAACCCACTTGTCCAATGACTAGATATACAGGCAACTTTGACGTAAAAAATCACGTGCAAGACCACGCCCTATTTGGAAGTTCCTACAAGAATCTTACTGCAGATACAATCAAGCAATGCTTTGGTATCTGTGTGCAAGATTGTAGATGTGTATCATATCAGCTCCACGGTAAGCAATGCGAACTGATTGACGAGAACAGGCACACAATTCTAGCTGATCGCTTCAAACCAAAGCCTGGATACATGTATTTTGAGTTAACGCAGGAGTTCAAGAATAAGGTAATTGGGTAGCTAAGGTAACTAACGCATCATCTGTTTAGCACTCCAGCCTAGGGACAGATTCACACTCTTGACATAGGTAGAAGCAGAAGTTGGTAACAAAAAAGAGACAAAGATATCTTAACCCTATTCAGACGGGGCTTGTTTTGTAATCTGTGACTCCACCTACCCCCCAGGTCTATAATCCTGAAACTTCCACACAATGATCGATGATCGCCCACGTACATCAAACCACCACCCTCAGTTCTGACCCGTGGGAACTAAATGTGACGTCATAATGACGTCATGCACATCATTTTAACGATTTAATAAACTACCTACAGTGCCATAGAGAATGTTGCAATTTCATCTCCTTATTATTCGAATGACTTGGAAATATTTTTTTTTAATTGACCCCCGTTATATGTGATGCCACAATGACGCCATAAACGCTCAAAAGCCCCCCCCCCGAATTCGGGTAAAGTTCTATTAGATGTGATAGTTTAGAGGTTGAAGCACCGAGCTCCCTAGTTTCTATTTTAAGACCATGCAGACGACCACGTTGTTACCTTAGCCGTAGGTTAAATTCTCAGTGTTTTGTCTTCTCGGAGATGCTGAGCTCCTTCCTGCATGTCCGACTATGCAAATTTATGACTTGTAAGACCAACGCTTTTAAAAATCATAACTTCTCAAAATAATGCGACACGAATCTAAAAGATTATCCATCAATACACCTAGCAAATACAATGAAACCTAGAGCACAAAAAAATACACACCAAACTGCATTGGTGTCAAAATGCATTTTCTCAGCAAAAATTCTATTTACTTTGGATACYCCCACGCTAGGACATTTATGTCTCGGCGCTTATWCTGCATCGGAGCCCATACAGATTGAGCAAAATCTCTGTTCTGAGGACCAATTCCATGAAGCTCGYGTGCACGGCCTAAGGGCATCATCGTCAGAGCGCTGGGTTGTCACCTCTGTGAACCCTGTTCGAATTTGTAATAGAAAAAAAAGTTACACAACTCGTTTCATTTTTTAAAGGGATCTGGCTGCTCAAGCAAGTGCAACAATGGATGCTGTCGATTCTCGCCTTGTCAAAATGGAGCAACTTGTGTTGAGTTGTGTGACAATGTCACGCGTAAGTTTGAGTGCAAATGTCCATCAGGGTACAGTGGAAGGGTGTGTGACGTGCCTGTATCATGTAATGCATACAGCAAACGGTCATCTGCTAACGTCTTCCCAATATACACTTCGAAAAGTACATTTATTGATATATACTGTGACATGACCTCTGAACCTGGAATGGTTTGGACCCTCCTAGAGTCGTTTGCTCTGTCGAATAATAAGAAATATATGAGCACGCCTTTAAGTCAAAATTTCCCAGTAAACGAGAAAAACGTTAACTGGGCCGACTACCGCCTGTCACTATCTGTCATGCAACACATCCAGAGTCAMGCAACTCACTGGRGAGCGACCTGTAACTACGAGAAGGATGGCTTGAAGAAGACAGACTTTATTCAAGGAAGTATACAGGTCTTTGATGTTCTGAAGGATTACGACAATGCTTGTTTTCGTGTAGATTACGCCAATGTGCGAGACATAAGTTGCACGGACTGCACAATAAACATGAGGCAGTTTTCTGATAGGCACGTCAACGTCGATAGTTATATGGGAACTAGTCTTAAATGTGATCTTCAGCTCAATACAGCCACAAGCAAGGTAATTGAGAACAATTACTGTGACAATTTTGGATATTACAAAGTCATTAATCCACGTCACCGATGCAGCGCTGATTCGTCCGCTACTACCCAGTGGTGGTTTGGAGCAATTGCATCATAACGCTTTATTCATCATACAAACCAGCTTTCCGTCACGTTATACAAGGATCGTGAGTGACACCGTGAAGATTTCGGCCACATGCACAAACTATTTACCGCAAAAATTATTAGTTTCCAGATGATTTTGTTAAAAGACACACTGGAGACACATACAAGTGACACAGCTAAAATTGTATTCAAAATAACACTTGCACAACAACTGTAACTCCAGCGGAGCATCCTTGAATCACTATACACTGTTCATTATGAAGACATACCCTATATATAACCTGTATAACCTGCAGGAAACGCCTGACTAGCGTTCGTCTGTACCGGAAGAAACTTGTGAATGTCTCAGTTTTAATTCGTGCATGATCGAATTGCTACATTAGCACACATTTACAATTGGAGTTTTCACGTATTTCTTGAAAAATCTCAACGTTTCGGCGAGTTTGAAACAAGTGTTCAAAAGTGTTTCAAACAAGAGGAAAATATAAAAACAAATAAATAATAATAATGATAATAAATGCATTCCTAAATGAACAAAATTGTTCTGGAGGCTCCATGTATAACAGCCAGCTGAGACATAATTTGTAACATTTCCTTACATATTCTGTCCCTGTATAGCAAAAGTAGTATGAAAGTAGCGTTTTGGGACGCTTGCACACATGGGTGCGATGGGTGCCCCATGACGTCATCGCTAATTTTTGATGGAGTCCATGGGTGGTCCAGGACGTCATCGCTGTTTTTAGAGGGAATTTTGTGGAAGTGAACCATCCCCTGATGCTGAGTTTGATAAAAGAAGACAAGAAAATAATTGTAGTTAATAGACTTATCACTKCAATTTGATAATAATGCACGTGACATGGCTAATGATCCTTTATCTCATGTCATTGATCTTAGTGATTCTTTGTATAGGAAGTACGATTTGGAATTTATAGTCACGAGTAATAATGTTTTCAAAGTTTTCGTAATTGCACGAGCCTTATTCATTCAGTGAAACAAAATTTTATAAATAGTAAAACTTTTTCCGGACTCTCCACCAATGAAAAAGTATCATTTTGTTTCATTTTATTTCTTGTTCTTGTTTTTTCGTATCATTTTTAAATGGTCTTAAATACTTTAAACACCTGTTTAAAACACCTTTTTTTGATTTTTATCATTCAAATTTTATTTATACACCACTCCCTCTTTATAAGAGCCGGGACATCTATTTTTAAAATGTTTTTTTTCCCTACCTCTAAGGATGCGTCCGATCATGACGATAAAGAATTGAAGAGAATAGGGCGCTTTCAAAAGCACCGTTTCGTTGTAGTTAAAACGATCAATTTCAGGATATTTCACGATATTTCAAGTGCATTATTAACAAAAATTGCCGTAATAAGTCTATTGTTTAATAATCCCTTTATCTTGTGTCATTGATCTTATTGATTCTAGCTTTTATCATATTTTCGTATCATCATTTCAATTAGACATCTGYTTTATTAAAATCATTCGAACTTTATTTACACAACGCTTGTTTGAAAAGAATGATGTCATATTAGAATTTAACATTTTCTGTCGACATTGACTTCCATTGACGTCCATTTAAGCATRAACCAATGGGGTTACAAATAACCTCATGCAATGATTAAGAAAACTTCTTGTGGCATGGATAAAAAAAAATTGTTTACATTTTAGTTCATTAGCATAAGCATATAACGTTTTAACCTAACTATCAGTAAATCAGCACTGAATATTGAAACAACATAGCACAATAAGCTTTCYTCGCAATGTTGAACTTCCCATATGAAAACGTTTTTCGACAAATGGTTTAAAAAACTTTAATTTTTAGAGAGATTGTCTGAAATCTAATTAGCATTTTTGCCATTCAGGATAATATCTCAAGGAAGTATACACTCGACTCCGTTTTGGATAGGTACGTGCTGCCAGCGGTCTAACAGGGTCTGAATGGGGTTAACCAAGTAGCGACAAATCTACAAATTAACTACTGAATGGCGACAAATTTGAACCAAATTTGCTGACTACCGACATTAACAAATTTACTGACTGGCGACATTTTCCAATATTCAAAGATGTTAGCTCCGTGAATACAAGCTTTTTTAATTTTTCAAGCAACTACATTCAAAATTTTCCGCGAAAAAAAAATTTTGCTTCGGATTGGCTTCTTGAAGTTGTGATGAGCCACTCTATAACTTTAAGGGCATCCAATTGACCAATCAAGACTCGAGGATTCAGTTGTTGGCATTTTAGAAAGAATTCTGTTGGTACAAAGCACCATTTTAGTTTAAATAACCGACTACCGACAAATGCCTAAAATTTAAACTGACTAGCGACAAATGCTTGAAATTTTAACTGACTACCGACATTGAGACCCCTCCATTAAGCACCTGGTCTAAAACCCTTACCCTGTTTAGGACACCAAAAAGGAAAAATCCATACCCTGTTAAAGACAACTGGGTGATTTGAGAAAATGCGACTAGCCAATCAGCGCAAAGCTGACAAGCTTATGCTGTAAACATAACCCTCCGACGGGAGGAATTTGCACAGCAAAACTCGACCCAGTGGAGTAGGCTGCCTGTCATTTTATTCTATCCGAAAAATCGAAGCTAAAACGCAAAGAGAAATTGAAAATCTTTATAAAATAGATTTTAAATGTCAATCAAATATTTATCGTTATAAAAAGAGAATTTTATCTTAAAAATGAAAAAACAAATAACTTTTTCTTTAATACCACGAGACTCCCTTCCCTGATAGAAATAATTGTTTTGTGTTCTTCGCGGGTTCTCCATTGCATGCGAAGCAATGACCGACTTCACGAAGACTTCAGAAGGTCGTTGAAGCGACGTTCAAGTCCAATGTATTTTAGGAGGAACCATGGCAAATCATTTTTCTTAGCTCTTGTGTCCTCTAAGCTTGAGGTATCTACAACATCACTGGAAGAGCTAGAGCGGCTTAGGTCCACGTATTCCAATCGAGTTAAAGCGTTTGTTATTTTTGGAACAAACAACGGTCGTAGTTCATTCTTTGTCGCATTTTCGGCAATAAGCCGCAAGCGTGCTCGACGATTTGACGTTATGTAACAGGCCAGTTACACATTTACTAGCTCTGACCTTACGACGAGAGCTAGAACGGTGACTGGGGTTTTTCGTGTAATGTCTTGATAGCGACTGTTTATGTCGAAACGACTCAAAACAAAATTCCATCGTGAAAAAAGTTCGAATAAATTCCCTAACACGTGTGTATTTAAGGTGGAAAATGTTCCATATGAGCATTCAATTCTTAAAGGTTTTAAAATTCTATAACCATTTTGTTTAGTTATGTAAATAAATCTAACACGACTTGTACTGTTTGTCTGAATGAAAGGCGAAATGCGGGTTTTTCCTTTCTTTCTTTACACTTTCAAATATGACCGCTTAACAAAAATGTACGGGCTCACTGGCTTACAACCTTGGCGAATTCATATGCAGGCCTGGTCGCAAATCAATCACCCAGAAATGGGAAAAATAAGGAATCGCTATCTACGCCGCAACCATCAAAACTGCAATTATACTGACATCCATCAAAGACAATACGAAGTTTTTGATAACACGTTAATCCTGGTACAGTGAAACGGTATTTCTACTATTTCGACGGTATTTCTTATGAAAATTTTACCCTGTCCAAGACACACACAAAAATTATCTCGGTCTTTTAAGACAATTTCGGGTGAAATGTATACCCTGTTTAAGGCAGCAAGGCCAAAACCCATACCCTGGCCAGCGGCACGTTCCCGTATAGCAAATATATGGGAGTACCCCCCCGGACGATTATGAAAACAAGTAATAAAAGCAAAAATGTCGCTGTCCATAGTAACTTACCGTAATAAGGATCATAAATTGCTGTATATGTAGAGTTTCGAGAAGGATATTTACCTTAAATAGGAGGGTTAATTTCTGAAAACAAACCAAACTAAATTCATGCAATAATCTGAATAAAGTTTCGGGTGATCCATACTACATCCGCTCAACCTGGTATTGCCGGCCTCATTGTAGCGTAAGATCGACAACAAGAACACTTGGGTATCAAGGCTTTCATATTCTCACGGTAAATATCATTGCAGGTGAGGTAGATTAAACACAAGAGTGAGGGTAAATGGGTGTGAGAGATGGCTCAACATCCCTTGTACAAACAAGAAAATCCGGGAAATTTTTAAAATGTGAAATTCTTCCTGAAGCAAATTAATGATTGTATCACATTTTCATTTGAATTAGTCATCTGTTTTATTCTAATCATTCAAACTTTTTACACCGTGCGTTTGCTTTAAAAGACAAATATCGTGTTAGAATTTCGCATTTGTTGTCGAAACTAAATGACCTTTTTTAAAAGGTCAGAAATTAAAATTAAAATTAAAATTTCTATAGTAGTTCTAATAATGCAGAATAGAGGATAGCCAGTAACTCGAAAGAAAAAAGCTTTTCAGATTAGATAAGACAAATCAAAAATCTATTCTATTTTATTATTAATTTTTTTCCATGTTAATGTTTWCAGCTAAGTGTACTGTTACTATGAATAAGGCATATCTTGCTTTTAACGAAGCCATTTATAGATAT